CAGTTGAACTCATCCACGAGGACAGTTTGCTTCAGGGTTGCAGGACCTAGAAGCACTTTTAGCCTTTCTTTTTTAAATAATTAAATCACTTGAGTTCAAATCAAGGGACTAAGGACACTGCCAGGCATTTTACGTACAGAATATCTTAAAACAAACACAATGCTTTATCCTTCATTTGGTTAAACAAAGACCTAACACCATTATACAGTCTTATGACCTAAAACACACATGTATTGCTGCTGGTTTAACACGGTAAAGGATGAGTTGAACACATAAATAGGCCAGCACTCATCTGTTTGCCAGATGTTTTTTAGGTTTCTATAGTTGTGGAAATGCACCTTTACGTAAGCAGGTAATCTTTGAAGAATGTGTGGGCTGCTCTCCACAGCTCCTTCAATCAGATACGCAGTTGCCACAGAGTAAGTCTCTCAGACCCCTGCAGAACTCTGCTCTCTGTCCCTGGATCAGATAAACGAAAGCCTCAATATTAACTGATGGAGCTTCTATTAAATGAAACGATCGGACTCCTATTTTGGTCGACCTGCTCTTATTYCGCAGCGACAAGAGAGCGGAACCGAGGGAGGCTCGGCGTGTAGGAGGTGGCGGGAGAAACAATATGTGATTTTTGAAATGTGTGAAAATGAAATCAAGTGGAAGAAAAATGACTGTTTGAAATGGAGGTGAGGAAGAAGATGACAAGGGAAATTACATAGATGGTGCAAATGTATAACAGCGTAAMGTCAAGGCCTAAAGGGGCAGATTGAAGCCTGTTGCAAAGATAGTTTGTGACCGTCTGTATTTATTGTCCAAGCTCAGCATTATTTTAGTGCCTGTGAGGTGAAGATACAACAAACTGTGTGCTTTGTGTGAACGTTTCACTGTCGGAGAGCAAAATAATTAATTTGCTTTGCTCTGTGCCAGACAGTTCACTTCCAACTGCAACAATTTTTGTCGAAAAAATAGAAAGAAGTTAAGATAATCTTACTTTTAGTGTCTGATGTCATTGTGGATTTCTGCAAAGTCAAATGGATTTAACTGGAACGAAACCCTCATTTGCATAAAAGGGTTTGAAATGCCAAGAACATTATTAGAATCAGTGCCAGGCCGCATGATTGTGAATTTAGARGAAACCTAAAATTAACAGTATCTCTATCTAAAAGAAGCAGTTAGTACCAACATCACTCAAGAGTATGTTTCTGTATGGAGACTAAGCTTGGTGAAGCTTGGTTTATACTTCATTATGATGTGAGACAGTGGATCGTTGATTACGTCATTTTGGACGTCTTTTTCTCATCAAGTAGTTGTGCTAAAGATGCGACGGGGGATAAATTATAACATCGCCCTCCTCCCTTCCACAGCTCACCCAGTGTACAGCTCATAACAGTGATAACAGGATAGGTTGTTTTTTAGTTTCACTCAACGATAAATCAGTGGTGTTGGGTCAGAGGAAAACTTTTTTTTGTTAGGGGCGGAGCTAGAAAGAAGGCGCGAATGTTGGCCGCACATTCACRTGGTCAATAGGATCWGACCAGCTGCTYGTCAAAGCCGCGCATTTTACTAATTTAAGATTTTCAGTAAACGTGCAGAACAACGCGCTTCTGAGTTCTGCTCCTCTGCTCCGCACAAACGAACACGCCCACAGAGTTCTGACCAATCACACGCAGGGAGCCGCAAGGTCTGCAGGACAGAGTTCTGACTGTGGGTAATTCACACGACGGCTGTCTTCAGGGGTAACAGGTGGRAGTTACACAATATTTCATCACTCGGCAGTGGGAGCAAGAAGTGCGACTTGAAGTATAAACCATCCTTTAGAGGATGAGGAGATCTTTTATCTGGGGTTAGGGATGTTGAGGTTTCTCTCCTGAACATGTGATCACTAAAACCTTTGGAAACTCTTCTTTTGCTTGTGACACATTATAAAATGTTTATGAGACCGTATTTATCTGTACTGTTTCCAAGTTTAGAAAAAACAAGATTTGCCAAAATGTGAGGATGCATTAATGCACAGCAGGGTTTAATTTTGTCTTCTTGAATATAAGCTGTTGACAGATTTGAACTTTTTCTCGTTTGTGCTGTCTAATTCTTGGACTCCTACTTAAAGTGGGAAATTATTTATTAAAGTAGAACATTGAAAGTTAATTTACTTTTTATTTATTTATTTTTTTGTCTAAGCTAAAGTTCTTAAAGAAGTTTATCTGTCATCTTGTATGTTTTGAAGGTGTTTACAGGTTCCCCAATTATCACCGTGTCTTTGTTTGATATCTCTGGTTATTATTGAAAAGCGCCTGATGTTTTTAGTTTCAGGATCTCACTGACAGAACTGATCCCTCCCCTGGGACTAACCTACAGATAAGGATGTACAATCTGAATATCTTAATACAGAGGTAGAAGGAAAAGATGAATCAAAGCCAGTCAGATAATGGTTATATGAACAGAGTATGACACTTACTGTGTCACGCTGCTTTGAAAAGGGATCTAGATTCTGTCACATACGAGGTTAAGGTGGAGGAGCTGCACTGAACAGTTTYTATCTAAAAATATTATCAAGACAGACAGAAATTATTTTACATCTCATTCATCTGATAACATTTCGATGTTATTGTGGAAATRTCTGCGCATCATCGTTTGTTGAGGTGCAGCAGTGTGCATTTAAACGTTTTCTATTGAGTGAGTCTGTTTTTTTTATTTAGTACTTCAATAAAGTTAAAGGTACATCTCTCCTTATGCTTGGGACTCATGCAGGATATTATTTTTTAAATGTCTCAAGTACAACCACTAGCATTCTTCTTTCCTACTTCACACAAACTTTTTAAATATTTTTATAAATAATGTAGTGGTCACTCCTTAGACTCAATGGGTTAGACCTCACAGCCAAACACTGGTTCTCCTCGTGAAACACGAGAGCGTTGGCTTTCCAACTCAGCAGACAGACTGACTGTGTTAGTTCAGAAGTGTTAGTTTAAAAGAGAGGAAGTGTTATTGAGCACTGCCAGGTGTTGTTGGTCTTAAACAAAACTGTTGACGTCTGAACAGTCGTACAGTCTGTTCTGACCTGCTCTCTGCTGAGAGCACTTTAAAGAACAAAAAGAATGATTTACTGAAAACTTAAAAATGAGAACATTCATTATAATGATTCAGATAAAAATAAATATAAAATGTTTAACTATAATGCAAAGTTTAGTTAAGTAAAATACTTAAACTTAAAAATCTATAATCAATTACTGTGGTTTCACAGCTAAAGTTCAAGCAGTGATTTACATCAAAGCACAATAAAACATTTTAATAACGTTATTTTTGTGTTTTCTTTTTTATACATTGATAAAATTATGAGTAAAAGACGATTATTCTGTTTATTATCTGATTAATAATAAGAAAATATCTCTTTACTGTTCAAGAAAACATGTCATGACTTTAACTTGAACAGAGTTCTGTCTGTCTGAAGGAGGCCTTCTGTGACCAAGGTCAAAGACAGCTGGAACTGTTTATTCCACCCCTAGGTGACCACTACAATAAATAAAAATAGCAAGGTTTGGCAACACTAAAGCTTTTTTTCAGTTTTTAAAATACAGAATGTGTCTGGGTGGTTTAAATGTTTGTGCACCACACACTGTAGGACCAAACCTGTTATATTTATATGTTTACGGTCGCGTGTGTGGGGTCTCTCAGGTTTTGAAAATCAACTGACAATTTTGAAATCTTGCCGTGTGAACCAGGTCCTAGTGAGCACAGATTCACTCTGAATGTAGAAACAAGAGTGCGACCCATCCATTAATGTTTCTGGTGCAGAGTTTATTTTTATTTTGTTTCACGGTCTTTTAGCTTTCTACGAGGGGACAGCACTCCGAGGCRTTTTATCAGATCTACAAATAGCCCGGGCTTGTCAACAGCCACAGTG